AATCACTTCCAATAACTTCTACATCTATATTACAGCACACTACACACGCAGATACACATGACATGCCAGCTTTCTTGCAACTTCATTTCATGTTTTGACACGGCCTCTCCCCATCTTTACAGTTGCAACAAATTCCTGTCAGAAGGTTGCTTGGCGCAATACTATCAGAAAGCATCTTTGGTCTGAGTTTTCTGTTGGAATTTACCACAACTTGAAGGTGATATTTCATCTTCTGTTGGTTGAAGGCGGTCAGGGTCGATTTTTCCCTTGATTGCTTGTTACTTGAACTTGATATAACGAGATTTTTCAAAGGGTGTATCTCCACAGCCAAATGTTATTTGAAATATAAAATATTGCTTTGCACTTGACATTTGCTCTAAGTCATTGAGTCTATTCGCCATCACTTTCGCTCATCATGTGTTTGACCAGCGCAGCACCAGAGCCTTGGAGAAGGATACACTTTTCAAGATGTATTTTACTGTTATAGGTCCATAGGCTACTTCCATTGCTTCTGCTAAACCACTACTTTCCATGACGTACCCAAGATTACTCTTCAGGAAAGAAATCCTCCAATCCTCACAACAATTTGCCATGCTTTAATGAACAGAGGCAAATCAAATGTTACTATTGCTGGTATTGGTTTGTTTCTTTTTCATGATGGCTGTATATAACGTCTGCATGTCATTAGGATTCGCATTGATGATGCGCAAAAACTCAATGGAAGATTTCGTATGATAAACCGTTGTAATTCTGAACCCCATGAAGTCAGAATGAATGGTTCTTCCATCTACCCATGTAGTCGTATACAGATTCATCTGTAAAATTGACCTTTCTGGTATTTTGAGCTGGAGCTCTTCATATTTGGGCACTGTTGCAGTTTCGACCCCCTTCCCGTTTAGCTATCGATTTGGCAGAGGGGTACTTATAGATGTCCTGAATATTCACAGCAAATTTTAGACAGTTTTAATTTTCAAAGTGATGTACTGACTGAAATTTTCCCGTCGATATCGATATCGCGATCGGAAGTGATCGGGGTGCGATGCAGCAATAGGGGCATAGTGGCATGACTTTGGCGATTGATTTAACATAGTATGAGGTGTCTGATCGTTCTGAAAATTTCTGTGAGTAATCAAGTCATATTGCCACGTTTCGTGTCGATATCGCGATCGGGGGTGATGAAATATTCAACCTTCAGACTGCACTTCCTTTGAACTTTTTGATGCAATACTGAATAATACTACCAAGTTTCATCAAAATCTGTCAAGAATTGGGCCTTCTAGAGTGTTTACAGTCTAAAACTTGAAAGCATTTTAATGAACAAGGGCAATCACTCATACTAAATATTTTTTTGATTTTTCTGAATTTCGATTGTGCCTTCTAGAGTGTTTACGTGCTAAAAATTGAACGCATTTTCAAGAACAAGGGCAATTTCTATATTCGTCCAATTTTCAATAGGGTCCATTCTTGGGTGATTACTAACACTCATACTAATTTTCTTCTAAATCCGTCAAGAATTGTGCCTTATTGACTGTTTACAAGCTAAAAATTGAACGCATTTTCAAGAACAAGGACAATAACTCATATTAAATATTTTTTCAGTAGGATTTGTCCTTTGGTTATTATAAACACTCACACCAAGTTTCGTAAAAATCCTATCAGGAAACCAGCTCTATATCGTGTCCACATCCCCTTTTTAAAGAACAAGGGCTTTTTCGATTTGTCTGATTTTCAATAGGGTTCATCCACTCACACCAAGTAAAATTCATCAAGAAACCAGCTTTCGATCATATCCTTAACAATATTGTAGTTTTATTATAACCTCAGAGTTCCTCCCAATGCAATCTTGATTTCCATCGATGTGTCGTCTATGTATAGAAATATCGATAATACTACAGGGTTCGTGAGAGACTCCCGAACCCGAACCCGATGAGGAAATTCCACAGCTCCTGGAGATTTGCTTAAGTTGCAATGATTTTACATTTAATGGTAAAAGATATCTGCAAACTGCTATGGACAAGCGTTTCGCCCCTTCATATGCCAACCTTTTCATGGCTTAGTTGGGGCGTGCGCGGTATTACCCTAATATCCATTGTTTTATGGTCGTTTCCAAGATAACGTTTTCACTTATTCGATAGAACAGAATTAGGATTTCTTTGAAATTCTTAATAATCATCATCCATTCATGTAACTTACTGGTAATGTTAGTCACAAGAGCATTGAATTTCTATAGATACCGCGGTCTAGTGTTGTTCTAAAAACTAAAAGAGCGTGAGTACTCTTAACGATTTTTCAAAACATATAAATTTCAACCTTAGCAGAGATAGCAGCCAAGAACTGACTTCATGTCATGCCCTTGTTCTTGAAAACGTGTTCAATTTTTAGCTTGTGAAAACTTTAGAAGGCAAATATTCAATCTTCAGCGCGTGACTCACTGAATAATAAACCCAAGTTTTGTCAAAATCCAGCAAGAATCGTGCCTTTTAGTATTTAAGAGCTAAATTTGAAAGCGTTTTCAAGAATAAGGGCAGTAACTCTTACTAAATATTTTTCAATTCTTCTGATTTACAATAGAGTTCATCCTTGGGTGATTACGAACATTCACACCAAGTTTCATCAAAATCCGCCAAGAACTGTGCTCTCTAGAGTGATTACGAGCTATAATTGAACGCGTTCTTAAGAGCAAGGGCAATAATTCATACTAAATATTTTTCGATTTTTCTAAATTTCAATAGGCTTTATCCTTGGGTGATAACAAACACTCATGCCAAGTTTCGTCAAAATCCGTCAAGAATTGTCCCTTCTAGAGTGTTTACAAGCTAGAAATTGAACGCGTTTTCAAGAACAAGGACAGTAACTCATACTAAATATTTTTCGATTTTTCTGATTGTCAATAGGGTTTAATTTTGGTTGACAACAAACACTCATGCCAAGTTTCGTCAAAATCCATCAAGAATTGTGCCTTCTAGAGTGTTTTCGAGCTAAAAATTCAACGTGTTTTCAAGAACAAGGGCAATAACTCATACTAAATATTTTTCGATTCTTCTGATTTTCAATCGGGTTCATCCTTGGGTGATTACAAACACTCATGCCAAGTTTCGTGAAAATCCATCAATCCCTTCTAGAGTGTTTACGAGCAATTGTGGACGGACGGACGGACATGGGTGACGGTAATATACGCCCCCAATTTCATATACTTTAAAGGTATGTCTGCGAAGAAAAGATATCCGATTCAGGAGCATTTAACATGTGAAAGCTCTAATTTAATTTACTTAATTTCATGTACTTAATATGTAACAGAAACTAAAAATGAATAATTTACGCACTCGTTTCAATGCTCAAAGATCAAATTAAAGAAAGTTTACTTTATCCTTACCAACATTGAGCGCACAGATATTGCTCTGCCAGAAGATCTATGGTTTGAGACGCTTAGAACGATCGGACTCAATATTCATCATAATTATTCAATTAATGAAACCTGAATCATTGTATTCGTTGACCCCCAAAATCTACAAATAGACACCAGGAGGGGTTTATAGCTGACATTGATCCAGAAGTATTGACAATTATAACTTTTTGATGGTCGCCATTTTGATATTTAACATGGTGTAGCTACAGTTGTAGCTACTTTAAACTCTGAATCTTTGTATTTCTTTACCCCCAAAATGTACAACTAGACTAGGTTTATAGCTGACATAGATCCAGAAATATTGATAATTATAGATTTTTGATAGTCATCATTTAAAGTTTTCTGCAAATTAATTAAATTACCATCTAAGCGTATATAACTCATTTCCTGTCGCAAAATATTATTGAATATCAGTCTTACATGTACACTACAAAATTGTCCTTGAATGAGCGGGATTGTTGATTTTTCTGAAGACAACACAAAGTGACTGTATTGTTGACAAACTTTATCTACCACCGATAACTATGACATGTATATTTGCAGATAAAACATTTCAAGTTTATTGAACAGCCATCGTGCATAAAGAAATGGCGTCTGAAAAACGGTATGTATCTACGTTAATCTAATTTTAATTTAAAAGAATGCGTCAAGCATGCAAGTTCATCATTATATCCATATGCACTGAAGTACGTTGATGGCGCTGATCAAAGCATTGGTAATTTAAGCGACAAAAGTACCATTTCGACTTGTCGACGTTTGAAATCTTCACATATACAAAATTTGATAACAATGTTGTCAGTCATATTCAACGGCAATTAAGTATGTTTGATTATATACTGTACCTTTATGAAGTAGATTGAAACAATACTTCGACAATGATAAATAATCATCTTAGCATACCGCTGAAACATCAAGTCAGTATGGCTGCTCTCTGGCGCTTACAATATATAATACCTTGAATATGCGATCTACGACAATTTAAAATACTAAAACGTACTATACGTACACATAAATTATAATTATGAGTTTAATATTTTGGAAAAGTTGAAAAAAAAATCCAGACATATATTACCGTCGTCCACGTCTCACATAGACCCGATCTTGGTGATACTAGATATAAATGTATTTACATGTATTACATACATGTGTAATCCTACTATACCGATAACAAAGAAAACCAGGCCCATGTAATAATTGAATCCATATCACATATAAGTTGAATACGATCTAGTCTACTCGAATGATTGAATCGACATTTTTGTTTTTATAATCTCGCTTAGCGAATTCAAAGATGCAGTAACAGCTTATAATAACGCAAATGACAATGAATTACCATTAAACCTGTCCAAACACCCATGGGCTATAATTTCTACAAGCATTATCATTGTTATTATTTTTTGACAACAAATGAAGGAACGTATTCAAGTTGACCAGTGTAGGCTTTAGGGAACTCCCTATGACATCATCTTATTTTTGTAAACATCACATTCCAGGGGGAATCCCACAGCGAAGTACACAGCGTAGGTCAAATAAGGTCATATTTTAAAATACCATGAATTATTGGCGGACCATTTAAACGCCGTCTTATTGCGCAATGGATGTTGTACTTTCTCCAATCAAAACAGTAAACGAAATAGTAAGTGTCGACCATTATATTGATTCAATATCAATCAAGTTAAATTGTTGGTATTATTTAGATTAAGGTTAACTGTAAAGAAATCTTGATCAAGTACCAGTTTTTAACGCCCACGTTATAATGTGGTCGTATATTGTTGTCGCTGTCCGTCCGTCCACAATTGGCTTGTGAACACAATAGAGGGTATAGTTTTTATCTCATTTTAATGAAATTTGGTGTGATCATCTATTACAATGAGATCTTGGTCAAGTTTGAATTTGACTATTTTCAATGAAAGGAATTTGAGTTATTGCCCTTGAAAAAAAATGCATCAAAATTGGTTGGCAGTTTGTGTCTAAATTTTATGACATTTTTTGTGTGAAATCAACAATATCTTGTACAAATTAGATTTTTGGTAGGATTTGACACAGATTGGCGACCGCCTTTGATATACTGAAAATCCTATCTTTTATCCTATCTTGATGAAACTTTGTATGCTCAGACAAATTGGTGTTTTTGTAAAAAATTATTCATTATAAAAATACTGACAAAAACACGGTATATCAGTGGGAGATACTAGTACATTATTTGATATAAGAAGATTTCTGTTCTAGTAGTTACTAAATACAACTGCCAGTGGACGTATGCTACTTTTTCAGGCAAACTCTCTATATTTTTTAAGTCTTCAGTTGAATTCTCCAAGCAGTTTGTCTGAGTCATCCCATAGTGTCGGATCAGTTCATAGTCAATGGAGATGTTCGGCATTTGAATTACCACATAATATTGTCTCAGAATCGTCACCACAGTTAATCATTGACTCGAAAGGTATGTTCTTAAAATTAGAACTTTCTACAAAGATTATTTGGTAAGACTTATGCCAAACGTATGAACTTGGCATATATATGTATATGAGAGATTTCTCTTCTCAAGACTGGTGTTTATGTTAATTGGGAAATTCTTTTTAAATGCCTTAACGTGCTCGCAGATGTTCTTTGATTTGACTTTGTCAAAACGCTCAAAATTTGTTCATGGGCACAATAGAATCTTCAAAATTTCAATCGATTTGAAACTTTGTGTGATATTCGAATTGATAAAGTCTTGAGTAAGGAGTTGAGTACTTAATTTTGCAATGAACATTTCCTGAGTATTGACTAGAGATATGGCGGATTAATCATTATGATTCATTGAATCTCAACAAAACTGCTGTGTAGGCGGATGTTTACCTTGTCTGACAAGCGATCTTTGATTCTCTCTTCGTTAATTACAGCACCATTCTGGACATCGAAGAAGGTTATATTGGCAATACTGTGTTTCTTTTGTTGTTTTTTGATCCAAGCCTCTAGATTTAATCTTAGTATAGCTATTGTATCAATGGTAGATCACAGTCAAGATGTAGTAAATATAACTCATACTAGGGCACTGACTGTTAATACTCATGAATGTTCCAACTTAGTAGAGGAGAGAGATTCGGTAAATTAATTATATTTAAATATTTCCAACAAAGATAATCCAGTATGCTCCATAATTTTCAATCATTTATAATATTGTAATTCATTTCCACAAGGACAAATTATATCTCTTTTCCTTTTTTGCGATTAAAATGCATTTCATGATTACTCTATTTCAAATGGTCGAAAAATATCAATTTAATGTTTTAATCGTGAAGCAATATAAAATTAACCTAAAATTTAGACCTAAAGTTAAGGAAGGAAAAGGTCATTTTTGTGATTAAATATTGATTCAAAAACTTTCCATTTCAGAAAGGGGAATTCGACTGGGACAAACCATTACAAGGTTTAATACTCGGGGCTTTCTTTTGGGGGTATTGTGTTCTACAGTCAGCTTCCGGTTGGATATGTGACAGATATGGTGTCAAACGAGTCCTTTCAATAGCTTTCTCTATTACAACTATCCTATGTTTAGTCAGTCCAATTTGTGCCAGAACAAGTCCTTATTTATTTATCTGCCTACGAATCGCTCTAGGACTTTTCCAGGTAATATGTTTATCATTCCGTTAACTGGTTGGGTAACGAGGCTTATGTAAAATTTGCGACTTTCTTAATCGGACTTATACCATTTAAAAGAATAATATCTAGGAATAATATCTAAGATCAATACCTACCATTTTAAAACAAGAGATGTAATGGTTTTCTCACATTTTGAAATATAATTGATAAAAATAATAAAGTATATTTTAACAAACCAACGATTTACTAATACTATAGGATTGTGTTTCTAAGAAACCGATCGTTTGGTCTTTTATGATTAGAACGAATCGTGTCGAAAAACAAGAAATCGAAGGCAATGTAATTTTTATGGAGTACGTCTTTGAAGTCTATAATTTCAGACAACACAGGCCTGCATTCGTATCTCAAAAGGTACTATAAAAATGAATTGTTCACAGGGAAACAAACTTGAGCGCCTAGTAACAAAAGAATCGGCAGTTCAAATCTAGCGATAGTTTAATTTTTACTTTGTTTTAAATCTTTCAGTGCCCTATATTTCCTGTCATTACAAGTGATATTAACCAGCTGGATTCCACCAAGTGAAAAGAGTCGACTTTATGGTTTTGCTTTCTCAGGTTAGACATTGTGGTGTTATACGTTTAAAGATTTTACTTTTTAATTCAGGACGTATTAACCTGTTTCCGTCTTGAAAATGGTGGTTAGGTTACTGAACGTATGCGACTTGGAATAAGTCAGGTCTAAACCCAAAACCGATCAATAAAAATGTCAACTGGTATGAAGGACTTATGAAACTTGCATCTTTATAATATATTGATGTTGATAAGGTTAGAAAACATGAATATGTGTGTGAATTGCTTACTTCATTTTTACTACTCGTTCCCAAAAGCTTCAAAGGTTGTTTGAAATAGAAACGTCTTTCATGACACGAAAGTGACATCCTAGTCACAATGTAACATCTGTTATTAGAATGCAAGTAAACATATTGGGTTTTTTTATCAAGGTTCTGCGCTCGGAATGGCCCTTATGTTACCTATTGGTGGATTTCTATGTAAATACGGCTTTGATGGCGGTTGGCCCTCTGTATTTTATGTTATTGGTACGCATGTGACTTATGTTCGAAGAAAGCTAGTAGACATGACAGTTGATGTTGTAACCTTAAGCAATTAAAAGCTTTAGATGGTGTCTGAAATTTTATTATTGCTGAAACTTGGACAAAGAAATACCACAAATACTTTTATAAGCAAAAAGTCTAAACTATTGTCCGCTTCTGAGAAAGGAGAATATACATCATAATAAATCACTTCAGTTCTCGAGAATTTTATCAGCGGTCTTTATCTTTAAGCCAACATCCAAATTACTTGCTTCGATTTATTGTTAGGAATCTGCACATTTGTTTGGACAGTTGCGTGGCTTTTTTTTGCTTCTAACTCTCCCCAAGAGCACCCGACGATAACAGAAGCTGAACTGAAATACATTGAATTATCACTTGGTCTAGCCAACAACAAAACAAAGAAGGTAGGTAAAGATGAAATCAAATGGAGTTTTACGTCCTACTTTTCTGTAGAAGGTAGGTAGAATTAGAAGATATCAATTGACTACATGTGCACTTTTGGATAAGGTTCACACTAAATCTTGTATCAAAGTCAAAAAATTCGGAAGAGTTTTCACTCTACCCTACCCTGAAAGATCACAGAAATTCCTAGATCTCATTATATTAGTCTTAATGGTAATAGTTTTCTAATCTACGGCTTGTGAGGCCAGATCCGAAATTAAAGGATGTTTCTTTTATTAGCTTGAGAAATCTCCGTGGAAATCTATATTGACATCGACAGCAACCTGGGCTATAATAGTGCCCCTTTTTTGATGAACTATGGACATTATATGCTTGTTACTCAATTACCTACATATATGAAAGAGGTTTTGAAATTTGACATTCAATCGGTTAAGTCTAGAATAGTTATTGATTGTTTTTTGTATTATTTTTTTTTTTCGTATATTAAATTCTTAATATGCTTCAATCGTAGTTAGATCTGAAGAAAAGCATATCTTTTAATGTAATTTTATTCTGTCTTTCGTAAGAATCATTTCATTTTCGGTTCATTTCAGAATGGGATTTTTACAATGCTACCGTTTTTATGTTTATGGATCGTTTTGATACTAGGTGGTCTAACAGCAGATTCTTTGATAACCAGCCAGATATTGTCTGTTGGTAATACACGCAAACTTATGACAGCAGTTGGTAAATTTGATAACATTTTTTTTTTCATACGGCTACGTTGGAATGTGGACATATATTCCCTCGCTCCTGTCCGACAGTTGGTCCTTCTGTCCACAAATTGGCCTGTCGGATGTTCATACAATTGTGTGTAGGATTACATACACATACTTTTGGACACGTTATCGACAAATATATCTTCAATCCTTGCTTTACCGAAAAAAAAAATACGATGAAAGTGGTTTTTGACTTGACAGTCCGAAAATGATTATGATTCTTCAAATATTGAATTTCAATCATTGATATCCTGAAAGTGTTTTGTAAGCGAATTTGGGTACAATTCGTCAAATACAGACGGGGGTTTAACTTGATTTAATGAATCTACAAATAGTAGCCCGTGAACGAAGAAGAGGCCATTTTTGTAAGATAAATCAAATATGGTGTTTAAGTTTATATCCAGTAGATCTCGGACAAGTTCTTATTTGGATACGATTCAAGAAAAATTGACGAATTTAAAGACCTTCATGTATTAAAAAAATACTTGTGGCTTGTGAATGTGGTGTGCAGCTTGATATTTGACACGAGCATATGTTGGATGAGTTTAAATCTGTGCTCTATTGGACAAATCTTTACGATGTGAGAGCTCTTGATTTAATATATCACCGCCCTATTCTACCATTACAGTCATCTTAAGTATTTTGTTCTTATTTTAAAGGTGCGATTAGTACTGCAGTGTTTTTAATAGGCTTAAGTTATATTGGATGTGATCAGCAAATTCTCGCAGTTGCACTCGTAACAATTGCCGTTGCTGCAAAAGGAATCAGTTCGAGTGGATTTTTTATCAACCCTACTGATATTGCTCCAGCGTATGCTGGTACAATATTAGGAATATCAAATTCTTTGGCAACTTTGCCCGGAGTCATAGCACCATATGTAGTCGGTGTTCTCACACCTAATGTAAGTTATTCCCGTTATTTAAGACTCAATTACTAATTCATTGCAACGATATTAACTCGAGACATGTATTTCAAACAATGGAAAAATTGATAGCATGTCAACATCGCACCTACCTTAAAGACACAACCGATTTTGTCAATAAAATAAAAAATCTTCGAGTTCCCTCTAATGCTATTTTAATTTCTATCGACGTTTCTTCTATGTATACCAATATCGATAACACTACTGGTTTAACGGCAGTTCGTAAAGCTTTTAATAGAAACCCAGATCCAAACAGACCCGACGATGCAATTCTACAGCTTTTAGAGATTTGTCTTAGTCGAAACGATTTCACATTTAATGGTAAAACATATTTACAAACTTCAGGGACAGCAATGGGCAAACGATTCGCCCCTTCGTACGCAAACCTTTTCATGGCAGAGTGGGAACGTGAGGTGTTGCGCCTCTGTCCATTTGACCCACTTTTTTACGGACGCTTTTTGGATGACATCTTTATGGTTTGGACTTATTCTATCGAACAGTTTTGGGAATTCTTTGAAATTCTCAACAACCACCATCCTTCTATCAAACTAACCGCAAACGTAAGTGACAAAAGCATAGACTTTCTCGATACCACAGTCTTTAAGGGAGATTCCATAGCAGAAACAAATAAACTGGATATTAAAGTGTATTTCAAAGAAACTGATACTCATCAACTCTTGCACAAGAGCTCCTTTCACCCAAAACATACCTTTTCTGGTATAATTAAGTCACAACTTTTACGATTTCATCGAATTTGTACAAGATCTTCTGATTTCAACCAAGCCTGTACAATTGTTTTCTCAACAAGCCTGTTTCTAATCATTTCAACCTCGACAACCATTCAATAGACGATCTCGCCCTAATCCCAATTGAGCGTATAGAAATTGACTTGCCCGAAGATGAAACTACCAAATTCCGTCAATCTAGGGAAGCCCATTGGATTGAGACATTGAATACAGCAAGACCTATAGGACTAAATATTCATCATAATGTAGGCATAGCACCCTTTGTTGTCCCGTTTAATACAACCAGCAATCGAGCAAGCAAGATAGTTCATGCCCACTATAAGAGCCTTCAAGAGAAATTCCCCCATGTCTATAAGCAGAAAATGATAGTTGCATATTCAAAAAATAAGAACTTAAATGATAATATTGTTCATAGTAAACTAAAAACAATCAGCACATAACAGATACTATACTTCTTGCCCAACGGGCGAGTTATTTTTTCTAATTTCAGATCAGAATAAGAACAGAAGAAAACCCAATATCAAGACCCTTAATCCTAATTTCTAAATAAAGTGTCTGCTCCACCCTAGGCCTGTACATTTGGGAGAATCAAACCCTCCCTTCCCCGAAATCTAAATATAAACAAGCTTTGCATCTTAGCTTTGCAATCGACAAGGCTCATGATCCTAAAAAACGGTAGCATTATTTAAATATATACTGTAATCACCTGTTGATTACTATGAAACCCTGCTTTGGATGTGAACTTGATATCTTATGAGTGTCATACTCAGCTAGGATGGTCCTTCCCTTCTGGTAGCGTATACCCGATGTTACGCCGTTGAATCATAATTGCATCCCTTAATACAACCGCATGTTACGTTGGTTATATGGCTGAAGATGATGGTTTTAATCTGCCTTCACGTATTTTACAAGGATTACACCAATAACTTATATGATTCATTTTAGGGGACAAGAGATGAATGGCAAATATCCTTTTACATTGCTGGTGGTCTTTTTCTTTTGGCAGCTGTATTTTCGCTGAAGGAGTAATTCAGAAATGGGGCTATCCTCTGAGAATGGAAGAAGAAATTCCTTTATCTGTCCTGTCATGTGAAAAACAACAAAAGGAAAGGACCTAGACGTGTAATTACTGATTTTTACACTCCCACGTGTAATGTGGGGTGTATTGCCGTCACCCTTTCTTTCTGTCTGTATTTCTGTACTTTCACAATTTTTTTAAGCACGTTATAATTAAGAGTTGTTTAAATTAAACGTCATTGTTAGATTGATCAGTGACGTCACACAATCTTGTCTAAAATGGCGAAATCGTCATTTTCACGTCTTTTACAGCTCCAAATACAATTAGGGTTGGAACAATCGTAAAAAAAATGAAATTCTGCAGGGATGTTTAGAGGCGAAATTGACTGATTAATTAAACATCATTGTTAGATTGATCAGTGACGTCACACAATCTTGTCTAAAATGGCGAAATCGTCATTTTCACGTCTTTTACAGCTTCAAATACAATTAGGGTTGGGACAATCGTAAAAAAATTAAATTCTGCAGGGATGTTTTAGAGGCGAAATTGAGTGATTAAAATTGCCAATTTTTACGTCACCAGTCGATTTTTATGGCCCAACAACGCTTTTTTCAAAATGGTCCCAAAAATGACCTTTAGAGAAATAATGATGAACGCCGTTTAACATCATTCTATATATTTCAAGCTGGGATACATGAATAAGAGGGTTTGTCATACTATCATGATGTCGTAGTTTGTGATGTCATAGTGAATATTGCCATGGTGATTGATGTCCGAGTGAATGATATCATAGTGAATGCAGGAAATCCAGTCAGCTGATGAGGTGAGGCAAGATTGGATTAGCAAGATTGAATATCCAATGACTGGCCCGACTGTAGTGAAACGACTCTGGGATGAGCATGAAACTTTAATGAAAATCGATAAACGTGATAAATGCTGATCGATTAATTTGCTGTATAGGGTCTAAAATTTCGATGAAAGATTGACTATCGCCAGTTGCACAACGACGATCCCACGGAATTGTCCCAAACAAAAACCGAAGAATGGAATAACCCAAGACACAACAGACTACGATCCTTGTTTGAAACGATCATGAAATCTTTGATACCCCACTCCACTCAAACATCAAGGGTTTAAAATCTACACACAAGGTGCATGTCAACCGCAAATTTCCTTTTATCAGAATAAGAAACGGCTAAAAGACATGCAACAAGCCGTTGATTCGCTGTTTGATACAGAGTTTACCGCAATACAGAATTTCTACCAAGGCCTTATTGGGCATCTGTGTTGATTTGGCTAATGGTGTTTTTGGACTGTGTTGGAAGTTTAATGATTGTGAAGACTAGGAAGAAGACTATATTGGTGATTACGAAAAAAGCACGAGACATACCAAAACGACGAAGATGTGATGGTTGCACTTACAGCATGACAAGTAGAGAGTATATCCGTAATTATCTAAATGATTAAACGTATTTGAAAGTAGAAATGGTAGTAAAACAGTTGGCTGAAAAATCAGACTCTACTACTACGGCTAAAGCGTATGACCTGAAACTGCAAAGCTTGGCCGTTCATGCCGATTGTTCTACTGAGGAAATCAAAGAACATATAGATTTCATGATCACAAACCGGCTAGAGATTGTGCCACCAATTTACAGCATATCGAGGTTACCGGCGACAAAATCCTGAAATGCTGTGCACATCTCAGCTTAGGAGTCGACCATGGGATTGAGGAAACTAAACAAAGAATTGGCATTGAGAAATTAATTGACTGTTCCAGTATTTTATTTCTTGGACTCATTCACATTGCGATAACTATATTGCTCTCGCCCAGTCATGCTGCACACACGGTTCCATTACATAATGAGTTCACCCATTTGCTACAGAACAACAACTTGGAATCTAAAGGCTTTAAAAGTTTTATTTCAAACCGCATCAGGCGTATTGCTAAACTTGTACAGTTAACCTTAAGAAAAAAGATCAGATTTAAGATTTTATTGAAGCGATTGTCGCTGTCAATTCTAATAAGCTTGACCTATCTGTATCAACATTCATCTCAAACGACTGGTGAAGTGTATTCGCTTATTGTTGAAATTGTAATATTTCCCATGATGGATTTATTAGGAATAGATGGTCAGATCACAAATAGGACAACATGAAAGATTTCTTCAGTGATAAGATGATTGAATTACGTGCAAGATTTGGTGAAACATTTGCTGGAAAGGGCCAATTGATAGGAACAATTCTCGCAAAGACCATGTCCTGAAACGGCAGTTATCACAAATAGACTTTTTCGCTCTCAATGATGAGAATGCTGTTGAAATTGATGAAAACAAACTGAAGATTGCACCAATTACTAACATGGGTTGCGAATCTGGCTTTGCTAGGTTACATAATCAGATGAAAATTGCAGGAAGAATGACAAAAGTGGAAACATACTCAAAGAAAAGTTTTATTGCAACAAATGAGTTACAATCGGATACTTGGTGTACAGAAATGAGGAGAATATCGTAGAATAAATGGGCAAGAAGTAGTGACGAGGGGAACCGGGTGAGGAAGAATGGGAAAAAACTATATAGTGACTGTATCGTCAGCCAAAGATCTGAACAAAATGAAAGGCATATTGCCAGGTAAATTGGCAAGAGTAGACAACTCTGTCTGAAGATTGATTTTGATAGAATAGTGTGGTGAAATGCCCGCGGTCAAGTCACAGGGTAAATAATTAAAATCGCAAGACAAAATAGTTCCCATTTAATACAAAAGGTTCTACCCAAATAGTTCAAATTACGAGGGTAAATAGCAGCATTCTAGTCCTGAATTTGATACGAGTGATCATCGTCTTATCTTTCGAAAGTTTGGAAAATTTCGTCTACCAACTGTGAAAACAGGGAAGTCAAAATACGGTAAGGAAATTGGGTATAGTTTTTAATTTAAAATAGAAGAATAGGTATGAAAAACATAGTAAAAACTATTTTTTAATCTGTTGGAACCAATGACTGGCAATGTCGAATTTGTCTTCGGAAACTGTCAATTGTACAGTTATAGGTGTATCATTTGAAATTTTTGGAACCCAGCAGTGTGATTTTTCCTGCACATGTCAAAATTTTTCAGGTAATAGACCTGATGTTGTCATGAAAAGGTTAAATTAAAAGTAAACAAAATCTTCACGCATTGCATTCCTGGTTGAAAGTCTTTAGTTTGTAAGATTTAATAAAGATACTTTCAGAGTTTGTTAACACTCTGCTAAATGTATTTGGCCAGTTACAAACACGTCTGAAATATAATATGGACGCTTACTAAAGCACTGCGCATTTTCCAAATTGCAGGGTAAGTGAGATTGTGACATGAATGAATCTTATTTAAGAACTAAAGACCGTATGCTGCGCTCGAACTTTAGCCGTGCATTACTCAAAGTCGACCGTAAGTCAGTCTATTGGTATGCTGCGCTCGATCTTTGATGCAAGTTATGCGTTTTGTATGGTAGCAGACTGAAGTATTACATTAAAAACGTTTGCTATTGAAATTGTAATAATGGAACATTATTTCAAGATATTGCCTGAAAACAGGCTGTTGGCGGCGGAGACAAAAAGAGCACCTACTTGTATTTGACGTATCTGGAAGTCATGCATGGTTGACTTACATTTTCATATTCCCTTGATGCTCTTTTCTTGCCGCATCTATCTGGGTGTTTATAAGTTGTATTTTGAGTAGGTGTTCCTCTCCGTCCATGTTGATAAAACAACAGTTAAAGTTGATGTCACGCATTTTGATCGGCTTGTAGGTACCGACGATTGGCTTTCCAACTCTCCTGGAATTGATTTGAGCCAACCCCAGAACAGTCCATCCAATTAATGTCCGAACGACCGAATGATGCCCCCTCAAAGATTTCCAGTGTACTGTATTGTAACCGCTATCCAAAAAAATAAGCTGGTTTATGTAGTGAGCCGAGGTAATCATTGCAGTCAGAACAGTGATTTGAGTTTTATCAGCAGAAGTAAAGTTTGGAGAACTTCGTTGAGCCAATAATGGTCATTTTTTTTTAACTATAGTTGCCAAAAGTTCAGGTTCGGTAAGCCCATACCCAATCTTCAATATCTGCAATACCCATTTTGCCAAGTTTTCGTCTTTAGCAGGGTTCAAAACAGTTTTTGATATTTTTATCATAAGGGATTTGGAATTGATTTTGTCACAAAGAGCTTTTTGGATGCTGTAAGTTATGGCAGCTTTTCTAAGGGATATCGTTTGGTTTTCACAAATTCCAAGGCAACACTCAAAGATGTTATCGAATAATTGCCAATATTTAATTGATTGCTCATTTTGACTAATAATACAGACTATCAGTGTCACATTAATAGACTCGGTTCATTAATACTATTATTTTGTATATTTCTTATTTTTATCATTTGTTCTTTAAAGATGGGTTTCCTTATTTTTTAAATGTCATAAGTGTCCATGTATGAAAAGTCTGGATAAACAAAAAAACTTTTGACTTTTCTTGATCGGTCACAAATTGGAATTATGCTGGTAATTCTCTTCTAAAAAGATTTGTGGAAAAAATGACCCTAAATTGGTGAGATTTTAAAGGGTTTTGAACTACAAATGCATAATGAAAACCTTCAATATGAGAAATTTCGTATTATTATGGAGATCTTTAATATATTTTTGGACATTAAAGATTTAATTATCATCTCTGACAGCTGCCAGTGAGTGAATGTTTCTATGCCGGAAACAAAATTTCACAAAGTTTGGATAAAAAAAATTTCCTTAGGTACGGATGACGAAGAAACGGAGGGAATCACTCCTATGAAATTTTGTAATTTGTCGAAATAGCGTTGAATGTTTGGGAAATTTCGAGAAGTAGGAGGACGGACAGGGCCCATCTACGAAAAAGACTTTTCGATAAAAGACGTAGATGCCTCCTCCAAGGACAAAAACACTTCAGCAATTTAGCACCAGGGCGAAAGCAATCCGTACGAAAGACCCACAGCAAAAAAAAAAAAACATTTCCAAATCT